CAAAACCTCTGTCAGGATCGGAAAGGACCTCTCCGAGCCGTTCGATACCAAACGAGGTTTCAGATAAGGTTAACTCTACTCTTTGAGAAAATAGTTCGAGCTGCAGAATGAGATATAGAAGTTACCATCTTCTATAAGAGTAGATGGCGTACGCCGATGATATTGACATCATTACCCTCAATAACCGCGCCATTAATTCTGCTTTCTGTAGAATAGATAAGAAGTCGTAGACAATCTCGTCTATCTTGGAAGGATAGCGGCTACGCTGGCTAGGTAATATAGTTCGAATGATTGAAAATACTCCAGCTCTGAGGGTACTGCATCGCCCGCGAGAGAAGCACAGAAAGAGGAAATCCTCCACTCCGTTAGAAAGGCCAGGTGTAGAAGGACCTGGCTTCGCTTGGAATCTCCAATTGGCGCCACATTTCAGAAGAAAGGAATGGAGCGGTGTTGTAAACTCGGCTATAACCGCGTAAGCGGTGTCTATGCCAATAAAGAAGAAAAAGTGTTAAATAATTTGACGGATTTTTAGTACTAACTTGAAATATATCAAATAATATACACAAAGATATTTTAAATATTTGCCGATGTATACATACATTATAATACAAACCGGCAGTTTGACAATATATTATGTTTATTTCACTTTCCAGTGTGCAATCCAAGAAACAATTAATGTAAGAGGACTGTCAAAATCGAACTACAACTGTTTAAGGCCACGGCACCAAATATGTGGACCCTAGTTACTGCATCGTACATTTTATCATAAAAATCGGTCAATCTTGCAGATTTGTTATTAAAATTTACATTACATACAGTGCGCCTGTATGTCAAATATGGATTGAATCAAATTTCAGTTTACTTTATACCGCATACAAGGTGCGATCCAAAGTAAACAGGACTTAAAAATAAAAACAGAACAAAATTTTTCCGCAAAATCAATTTACTTTATTCAAAATAATCTCCTTCTGCTTCAATACAACTTTTTGCATGGTAAAAAAGCATGTCGAACGAATGTTTTAGCTCGCTGGCCGAAATGGTCGTCAGTATGCCGGTGCCAGCCTTTTGGCTTCTACGTCTGCATAACTCTTTCCTATCATGAGCACATGCATTTTTCGGAAAAGGAAGAAGTCGCACGGTGTCATATCAGGGGAATACGGGGAGTGGTTAATGGTTAAAATGTGGTTTTTGGTCAAATAATCGTCCTTCGAATGTTGGATTCTGAGCAATTTTTGTTGAATTTCAATGATGATTTCGGCCGACTTTTGATGTATTCACGCACAGTTTCGATGGAATTTCTGGTGACCATGGACTTTCATTGGCGGACATGTTGATCGTCTTTTATGTTCTCACGACCACTTTGAAAATATTAAAACCACTCGTACAATAGGCAATAATCGCCATAAACTTTTTTCATAAATTGAAACGTTTCGCTAAAAGCTATACCAATTTTAGAACAAAATTTAATGTAAACTGACATTTAAAACGCAACAACTTCCCTTCCGATATATGAAATGTCATGAAATTCTCACTGGACAATCGATAAAGATAGCATATTCGAACGCACCAGTCGACATATAGATGGCGCCACCAGGGTTAGCTAGATTCACAAAGCCCTGTTTACTTTGGAAAGATGCTTGTGATTCGGCCAATATGTGAGTTTTACTAGCGAAAACAATAGAGCGTGTTTTAATAATAACTATGTATTTTGCGCCCAAAATGAATTAAATCGGGAGAAAAATTTTCAAAATCGCCATTAATATCCCGATTTTCAAATATCCGGTGGTGGAAAGTGTACCTTACTGAAACTGAGAGTGCATATTATTAGCATATTAATAATATGTGTGATGAGAGCTCGCATTGTCATGGTGCACAATGATTCGTCTTCTCTTGGTCGTTTTTCGAATTTCTCCGAAGACTTCTAGCAAACAAATGGTGGTGTACCACTCAGAATTGACCGTCCTACGCATAGATCCATGATTCGTCACCTGTGTGGGATGGTGCTTCATAGCCATACAAAGATTTTAGTTCATCGATGCACTCTTGTCGTGATAATCCAGTGAGTTAATTMCATTTTTTGGCCGAGATGAATTTTTGAATTCCCTGTAAATAAAACAATTCACGATTAAATGAGAAAACGTTCTGAGTGATGTTATGCTAAAAAATGTCAAACTTTCCAATGGAAATGTCAGATTGCACCTGAAATATATATAGCAGCCTCCGTACATGTAATTTTAATATAATAAATTGGAAACACACTTACCACGTCTGGATCGGTGAACAGTCGCAAAAGGAGAGAGCGCGCAAATTTTTTAGTTAATGTTTAATTGCGCGCGAATTAAAACTTCGAAAAAGAAAAGATTGCTCTGCCGATACAGACGTGGCAAAAGAAATTGGGCGGACCGGCGTCAACATTCTCCCCGCCTTGCAGTGTAACTTCAAATGCAGTTTACAATAAATTACTTAAAACTAACTTAACTGACTGGCTCCYGCACTGCCTCTTCCATGTCTTCTTTGCAGATGGGGTGACCGACGAGACGAATCGAGTCTGGTTCGGTCCGGGAAATGCCGCTGAGACGAATCGAGTCTCAGTCGGTCAATGCCATGCCGCCAATTTGTATAGGAGTCACCACCTTCCGAAGTCGGCGAGACGACTCGAGCCTAACTCGATCCTTGGTAGGTGGTAAATGTGAGAGGCGTTGGCAGCCAGTGCACCTTATTGTGCCGATATTATCTCATGTGCATCTGCTTGACGACGGGTGTCTCGTCCACGCCTTCGCTTCGGATGGGGTGGCCGGCGGAACGAATGGCATTCCGCTCGGTCCGGACAATGTCGCTGAGACGAATCGAGTCTCTGTCGATGGTTGAGATGCCGCCAATCCGAAAGGAAGTTACCAACACGCCGAAGTCAGTGAGACGACTCGAGTCTGGCTCGATCTTTTGTGTGTGGTTTGCGGGAGAGGCATCGTTGGTCAGAGCTTTGCGTGTTACCGCCATGCACTGAGGTGGGCTGATTGTTGACAATGCTGTTGGTCAAACTGTTGCTGCTGTTGTTGTTGCTGTCGTTATCCACTACGGCCAATGTGGAACAGCCGTTCGAGTTGGCTGTTTCGTTCAGAATGTTAACCAAATAATGTGAAGGTGTTGATGTTGGTGTTGGGGGCTGTTGTGGTGACTGCTGCAGCTGCTGTTGCCGGATTTGAATCAATTGATGTTGAAGTTGCTGTTGTTGCGCTCTCACCGTTGGGCTGGACGCCATGGGTGACGAAATGTGCGCTGGAGACGTGGACGGCTGCGTTATCGGCAGCTGTGCTTCACTCTGCGTTGATTGCTGCTGTTGTTGTGAATTGTGAAATCTGTTGTTGTTGTAGTCTTGGTTGGAAACTAGCTGGTGCATCTTGTGTCGCCGTTAACATTACAGCAAACGGTGCTGCTGTTGATGCATTTGTTGTTTGGGGCGTTGTTGGATGATGTGATGATAATTGTGGGTGATGTCTTGGCGATTGCTATTGCAGCGTAGTCTGTTGATGGGGCGGTTGTTGCTGCTGTTGTATAAATAAAAAATTAATATTATTTTTACTACAAAAGCGGTGTGTGTTTGTTGTTTAGTTATTGCTGAATTTTGTCCGTTGACTTTACAATTTATCTTCATTTCTTCGGAGGGAACGGAACCTGTTAAAATCCAACCGAACACTGTGCGATGTGCAACGAGGGATCCGAAGATTTTCGATTTTTTTATTATGATTCTTGGGTAAAGATCCGCTCCGATGAACAAGTCAACCTTTCGACTCGTAAATAAATTATTATCCGCTAAGGGGATATTGGGTAACCTTTTTACCATTGAAGAGTTAATTGATCTGGATGGAAGCAGTCCAGTCAATGCGTGAATTTTCGAAAGAACAAAAAAAAAATAATAAGTTGAATAAAGTATTTTCTCAAAGTATTTTTCCCAAATTTAATTTGAATGTGCTTGCTGGGTAACCGGCCCATGCATTTACAAGCGTAGTCTTCGACTATGTACACAAACACAATAGATGTGTGCTTAATTTCTTTATTTAAATGCAAATACAAATAAAAATAAAAATTCACAAGCACTTATTTGATTTATCAACTAATCACTTTCACTTTGTTCACACAGTTATTTTCGAACTATTTCGATTTCACCACTACACCCTTTGTTTTTTGCTGTCTTTCTGGGATGGCTGCTGCGCTGCTTTCTGTTTACGAAAGGTGTRTGCACGGTTTGTTCCGCACAAATTGACTGACGACCAAAAATTGCTCAAAAATTGTCTCATCGATCGACACTTGTGACCGATTGTTTGACCAAAAATCACATTTGAACCATTAACCATTATATTCACCTGATATGACACCGTGCAGCTTCTTCCCTTTCGCTTGATAATGAATTTGCCCATGACAGGAAAGCGTTATGCAGACGTAGAAGCCATTCAAAAGGCTTGCACCGGCATACAGGCGACCATACTGGCCAACCAGTTAAAACACCGTACTCACCTGATATGACACCGTGCGACTTCTTCCCTTTCGGTTAAAAATGAATTTTCCCATGACAGGAAAGCGTTATGCAGACGTAGAAGCCATTCAAAAGGCTTGCACCGGCATAMAGCTGAATTAGTATTGAAGCTGAAGGAGACTATTTTGAATAAACTAAATTGATTTTGCCGAAAAAAACATTTGTTCTGTTTTTTTTAAGTCTTGTTTACTTTGGAAATCACTTTGTATACATATATAACTATATCTATCTCKCTTAGTTTTAGGGATGTATAAACCGTTAGGTGAACAAAACTATAATACTATGTAGCAACTGTTTGCAAGAGTATAAAAATTTTCAAACTTCCAGTATCTTACATATATCGGCCAATGTGCTATGTTTAATATAAAGTCTGCTTTGATACTTTCAAGTTGCAGGAGTATAAAACTTGCGGTCACACTCGAGCCCTTCTTTAGTTTTTTAGTTTAGTTTATTCATTAAATCAGCTTACCTGAGATTTCCTTTGTTAGTTGCATATTTAATGTGATTGCAAATAGCTTCAAACATACCACTGGTTGTGGTGACATAACGGCAATCGAAAACCTGTAAATAAATGCAGGGAAAATAAAGTAAATAAATATTGCTACGAAACGCTAATGGACCAAAAGAAAAACAGAACCTCAAAGTAATATACTTATTACCAATTACTATTAAATATCACTTATTCAAATTAATTCCATTTAAATATATCTCAGGAATATTAAAGAAGAAAAGAGAAAAAATTATTATTGAAGTATTAATGTGAAGCGATTCCCTCGGAGCGATCTTTTGCTGAAATGCCAGAAGTCACATAGAGCTAGCATGATACTGATTGAAAATTTGGCGAAAAGCGGTGCATTATCGTGGTGTTTTTTGTTTTATAGTAGGAGGAAGCATCCAAAGCCGGAGTGGTCGATTTTAATCCGCTAAAAAGAAGACATTTAAGTCCGCTCCATTGTACGGACTGACTGAAGCCTAGTCTGTTCTAAATGTCTTAATCTTGTTATAATTAGATTTGCCGCTTCGTTTACAGCTTTCCACTTTACATAGAACTCGCACATAAGTGCTGTCAAATTTTCCACCGTCATACTACCTCCATGGGTGGTTTTCAGCTTTTCCCTTGAAAACCGATGGCAATAAAAGAACAAGTGTTCAGAGTCTTCTATACATTCCGTACACGTCGGACAGCATGGACTAAAGTCACGACGATATTTGAATAGGTAGCTTCTGAAGCAACGATATCCACTGAGTATAGACTCGTGGTAGCAAAACATCGGCGCAAACCATTTTTGCTGTCAATGCGTTTGATCTGGAGGCCATCCAGATGTTTAGTTACTGCTACCACTATGAGATCATTGTTTGCGATATTCTTAACACCCCGTCGTACATCAGSTTTCATAGCAGCGAGCCTAAAACCGAGCCTTGCGGTACTCCATTGGAGTGCCCTCGTCCGTATCAACTAGCAATCTCTAATTTTGAAAGTAACTCATTATAATATTTATTAAATAATTCGGAGCGTGTATATCATGTATACTTTTATTATATTATATTTGCCCACTTTGCGGATTTGAGTGCTTTCTTCACATCCAGGGTTATTAGCGCGCAGTATTGTTTTGTACCATCTTTCCATTTTTTCCCACTTATTGCACATTTCGCATTATCAACTACTTCTCTTAATGCGTCAATAGAGGACCCCTTTTTTATAAAGCCGTACTGTCTCTCTGATAATCCGCCAGATTTTTTGATTGCTAACTCCAAGCGGTTTCTTACAATGCTTTCGTACACTTTCCCAATCGTGTCGAGCATGCAAAGATGTCGATATGATAAAGGTGATTCTGGTGGCTTTTTTGGCTTTGGGAGTAAAACCAGACGCTGTATTTGCCCCGAATCGGGGAACACCTCTTCTAATATACACGCATCATATATGTTAACAAATAAACTGGGTCTTAGAGTTATGGCTTCTGTTAGGGCTTAATTTGCTATACCATCTATTCCAGGCGCTTTGAAATTTTTGATTTTTTTCGCAATAGCCATTAGTTCATCTTCTGTGATTAATAGAGATGGCTCCGTAGATTCGTTTCTTTTAATATAAGTAGGAAATGGAGGCATGTGTCGGGAATAACGCTTTGGCAACATTTATCATAAATGATGCGTTCTTAGGTCACTGCGACTTATTTTTGAACTGCGACATATAAATTTTGTATGCCGTTCCCCAAGGGTCTATGTTAGCTTCTTCATAGAGCTTTTCGAAACRGGATCTCTTACTTCGGATAATGGCTGACTTCAGGAGCTTTTTCTGGCATTTAAATGCTTCTCTGGGGCTGATTACCGGCTTTCTATTTTTATTGTATTTCGTCCAGACGCTCTCAAACATGTCGCAAAAATACCTATCGAAAACGAAGTTGGCGGCAAAAAGAACAGTATCAAATTCCGACAGAGCTTTGTTTCCTGGAAGAACGAAACTTCAGCAATTATATTGTCGCTATTTGTATACATATCTGACACCTTCCACTTAGTATGCCTGCTAAGCGCGTCTTTAGCAAACATTAGGTCTATTATTGATCCTTTATTTCCTTTTGAAAGATATTTTATGTTCCACTGTTTAAAATCTTAAGATTTGTTTGAATCAAAAATTTTAGAATGAGGCGACCATGATGGTTTGTGATTCTGCTACCCCAAACAGCAGACCATGCAATTTACGTCGACGCTAAACCTCAAATAATATTCCTTGTTGACACATTCGAAGAAAACTGTCAACATAAACTAGATTTTTGACCTGATTTGCCGTTTTTTTTCGGCTTCGGCTCACCTTTACTTTTGATCCAAGACTCATCGCCAGTAATAATACGTTTCATGGCACAATCGTGACTGGTTGTCGAAGAACATTGTTGAACTGACGTTAACACAACGCAGTTTTTCGAAAAAACTTAAGTGACTTTGGATTCAATCCTGCTTTCACTTTTCTAAATCCTAAATTATCTTTAACATGGTTTTCACTCATCCTTCCGATATTCAAAACGATGGCMGTAAGATCCTTGATTGTTAATCTTTAATTCTCAAGCACCAAATCCTTTATTTTTAATGATTTGGTGATCATCAGTTAATGTTGTTGTCCTTTACTAGATTCGTCCTCAACGCGTTCTCGACCCTCTTTGAATAGTTTTTACCAATCAAAAACAATTGCTCGCGAAAAACAATGACCGAAGGCCTTTTCCAGCATTCTGAATATTCTTTGTTGAATAAATTCACTCTTTGTAAAAATCGCCGAATACATTATGTACTCCAGAAAGACAAGCCTATTCTAAACACTAATGATATTGTGATGTGCATTTAGAAAGAAAAGTCGATACGATCTCGTCAGTAAAGTTGTAATAACAACTATGTGTTTAAATTGAAATAAAGTCGAAAGTGATTGAATTTGTAAATAAGATGGAGAAGGTGCTTTCTTAAGTTTAGATTCCGAAACACCTAAGAAAGGGCTAAGGGCGTTACCGAACATTTTATATTTTGCATGCCTTAAAGCTGGAGAAATATTTTACATATATTATACAAAACAAAAACTTAGTACTCAACAAGTAAGGGTAAGCTACGTTCAGGTGTAGTATTACATTTTTACAAAATGTTAAAAAAAAAACCTGAGAGAATTAAATGTTATTAAGTTACATTAACGGTCAGAGACACATTTATTTCCATCACTATATTTTGCTTCCCGTCGAGGATACTTGAATTAAAAGCTACTTAATTAATCAGATAAAATATAGCAGGATGAGGATGGAGTCATGTGCAGAAGTTAACACAAGTAAGGAAAGTTCTCTGACTGCCATTCATTTCGGAGTGGCCTGAAACGATTCTTTTACAAATGGCTCAAGCACCTCACAGCTTCCGGTCCTAGACCAAGTATCTTCTGGGTAGCCAAAGAACATACGTTTAAAGGTGAGCTAAAGTGAAAAGGCGAAACATCCTCTCCATAGTGTTGTGCGCTGCGTTTGGAGTCACAGTACTGTTGTTCACTCCGTGGATGAATGGCTATAGCCACAATCCGCATCAAAGCGAAGTTCTTCAACATATCGCTGATTTGCCCCCTCCACAATGTCAAAGTCGTGCTTGACGTCTTTAACGCCAACGTAGGTAAGCAAGGTACCCTTGGAACAAAATTCCGGTAAATTAATCCTCTACAAGGAAACATCCCTAAATGGGTTGAGGCTGATCGAATTTGCCGGGGCCCGAAATATGGTTATCTGTACTACTACAATAGAAGAAAAGTCCTCTCTCGACGAAAAAACAACCAAACTGCATAAGTCACTCATTATTCCCTTCCTTCAATATGGTTCAGAGGCATGGACGATGATAACGTGTGAGGGGTCGTCGTTACGAGTTTTCGAGAGAAAAGTTTTGCGGAAGATTTATGGTGCTTTGCGCGTTGGCGACTTCGAATATCATATGCGATGGAACGATGTGCTGTATGAGATTGATATTGATATAGTTCAACGAATTAAAATACAGCGGCTACGCTAGTTAGATCATATCGTCCGAATGAACGAAAACACTCCAGCTCTGAAAGTTTTCGACGCAGTACCCGCCGGGAGAAGCAGAGGAAGAGGAAGACCTCCACAACTTTCGTGCTGTTAGTGACTCGGTTATAACCGCGTAAGCTGCAGTGACGTCGCTAAGGAATTCAGCATACTCTTGTGATCAAATTGAAAAGAGAATTTTGTCCATTTCAGGCAATTCACTCATGCCAATGAATTTTTCAGTCATCATAGCACATGGAAAAATCCTCCGTCAGCATTCTTCGATTCAGCTTTTATATATTCAACTGAGTCAAAACGGTGTCAAACGGGAGCGGTCATGTAAATTTGCTGAATGCCCACAACTTACAATCAGGCGAATGCGGTGGTTGCGAGACGATATTAGTTGAAAATGCGGCGAAATGATCACGAATAACCAATGTAGTATGAGATGGTGCAATTCTTTGTTCAATAAATTAAGGCATAGTAAAAATAGAAGAATTCACTTTTAGAGCGTCACAAAACGACGCGTATTTCAAATACTAATGAATATTTTGACGTGAAATTTAGCATAGATGTCACTAACAGTACTACCAACAAAAACAAAACAAAAAATTCGAAAAACGGCTTTCTAAAAAAAGAAGCTCGATATTTAGATATCACATGACTTGTCTGTGAAAAATTTAATCGACCGAATTAACATCGCGATTCTTTACGGAAGCGAAATAAAATCGGATAATTTCTGAAGCGAACATTGATGTGCGAACAAGGTCATKATCCAAACGTGGTGGAGCCCAATAAATGGTCATAAAGCCGGGATGACGCTTCGAAAGGTTATGTTGAGTTTTTGGTGGGATTGGAAAGGAATCATCACTCATATGAGCTGCTCCAGCCTGCTGGAACGATTGATTCTATATTTTACTGCCAACATCTGATGAGATTGAAGCAAACTATCAAACAGAAAGGACCTCGTCTTCCATAAGGGCTACGCTAGACCACACACATCTTTCACGACTGGGCAAAAACTGGGATATGCGTCCACCATATAGACCTGAC